AGCGTAGAACGCTGCTACCATCAATGACTAGATCCCCATTCCTAGCGTTGATGACATGCTCGTTGAGTTAGAAGGCTCGCGGTACTTTTAAAAATTGGATCTAAGGGTCGGGTACCACCAAAATCAGGCTCGCTGAGGTGGACATCTCGAAGACGGCATTCAGGATGCACCAGGTCCACTACGAGTATTTGGTTATGCCATTCGGACTTTGTAATGCTCCATCTACTTTCCAATTTTCTATGAAATCAAATTTTCAGGAATACTTGCACAAGTTCGTGTTAGTGTTTTTCGACGACATTTTAATGTACTCGAGGACATAGCCGGAGCACATCGAGCACCTACGCACGGTCTTGGAGATCTTGGCCCAAAACTTGTTCCACATCAAGCTATCGAAGTGATCGTTTGGGCAGCAGACAGTGGAGTACCTCGGTCATTTCATTTCACACGAAGGTGTGATGGTCGACCCGAGGAAAATCGAGGCTACGGTCGACTGGCCTAAGCCAACGAGCTTGACACAACTACACAGATTCTAGTCTTGACCAGGTACTTTCGAAAGTTCGTGAAGGACTATGGAGCAATTGATAAACCTTTGACCGAGATGACCAAGAAAGACGAATTCAAATGGACCGAGGCTAGCTAGACGGAGTTCGAGAAATTGAAAGGCGCAATGACCACCACGCGCGTACTTGAGATGCCAATGTTCGACGTCTTTTTTGAAGTTCACACCGACGCGAGCGACATTGGAATTAGAGCGGTCCTAGTGTAAGAAGACGACCACTGGCTTACATCAGTAAGGCACAAGGAAGCATGAGGCTCGGGCTATCGGTCTATGTCAAGGAGATGCTCGCGGTCATGGAGGCTGTGCGATGTTGGAGGCCTTAACTTCTAGGCTGACAGTTTCGAATCGTGACCGACCAACAACCACTAAAGCATCTTTTGGAGCAAAGAATAGTTATGCCAGAGCATCAAAAGTTTGTCTCGAAGATGATGAGATTTGACTTCGAGATAGTTTATCGACTTGGGCGACAGAACGCGATGGAGGACGCGCAATCGTGTCGAACCAACGTAGCCGAGCTCGACGCAATTTTGGGACCAGGCTGGGCTATATGGGATGAATTGAGAATCACACCAGATGAAGACAATTTTTTTAGGGACATGCGCCAGAAGATGGTGACCAAGGACGATACGACCGCCGAGTACACGACCACGATGGGTTACTATTATACAGAGGCAAGGTATACATTCTGGACGAGGGGCAATTACATGAAACACTCCTAAGGCACTTCCACAACTCAATGTTTGGGGGACACTCGGGAGTATACCGCACATGGATGTGACTTTTCACCACGTTCTATTGGCCAGGACAGCAAGGAAGCGTGTGCGATTATGTGGCGCGGTGCGACGAGTGCCAGCAAGTAAAGGCGGACTCGCGCCGGCCGAGCGGGATGCTTCTACCTTTTCCTGTACCCGAACACATTTGGGAGGATTTCACGATGGACTTCATCGAAGGGCTGCCGACGTCCAACGGGTTCAACAGAGTAATGGTTGTGGTGGATCGGCTAACGAAGTACGCACACTTCATCCCGTTGACACACCCATACAAGGCGAGTTCTATCGCCCAATTATTCGTAGAATACGTGATGAAGCTGCACGGGGTTCCAAGGTCGATTGTGTCCAATCGAGATAGTATATTCATGAGCAGCTTCTGGTCGGAGTTTTTCAAAATGCAAGGCACGGAGAGCTGGCCATGAGCTCGGCCTACCACTCGCAAACTGATGGGCAAACCAAGGTAACTAACCGAACTTTAGAGCAATATCTACGGTGCTACGTTTAGCAATCTCCGAAAAAGTGGCAGGAGTTCATGCCTTGGGACGAGAATTGGTACAACACAACGTATCATAGTTCGACCAAATCCACACTGTTCGATTTGGTATACGGGCGCAAGCCGCCCACACTCATGAGCTATACCATGGGGAACTCGGTGAACGGCGAGGTTGAACGAGAGCTCATGGAACAAGACTTGGTGATCTGTGAGCTAAAGAAGACCTTGGACGGATCCATAAACCGCATGAAGCCGGTCCACGACAAAGGACGACGCAAAGAAAACTACGAGCCGGGTGACTGGGTGTACTTAAAGTTGTGACTCTTTAGACAACGCACGTGTTTGTAGTATTTTTGGGTAGTTGGTAACTGAGTTACCCGGACTCGTGTCGTTCTCAAAGGAAGACTGTTCGGACACAGATTCAAACAACGATTGACTCACACAAGAAAAAAAGAATAAAAATCCTAAACATTCTACTTGCAATTTGGGGGTTTGATTAAGGTAAGAATGCAATTTTAGCTAAACTAAAGCAAGCAAGTCCTCAAATGCTAGGAAAAAAGAAAATAAAGAGAAAATAACAAGGTACTCCTAGGCCCAAGATGGAAGGAAGGCACTCATAGGTTCGGGAATATGCAATCGAGTAATCATCACTCGTGATCAATTAACCTCTCAATCAATTTTCGCCTCACGCAATTAATAACAATATCACATAATCCATAGCCAACAAGGATGATAGCATAATCGACTCATGGATGGCCTATCTAACCCTAGAATAAATCCAAAAAGTAAAGACAAGCAAGACTTACGAAATCATGGATCTTAAACGAAGTCTCCAAATCTCTAGTGCATCCACGAGAAGAAATAAGCCAAAACGTTGTAATCTTGATGGAGATTTATTACAATAAAAATAGGGTCTTCGAGCTCTTCGAGAGAAAGAAAACTAGAGAGAGAAGAGAACAAAAACTAAAAATAAAAATTTAGCAAATGAGGAATTCTAAAAAAATACAAAGCAAAATGTTTATTTATAGTTACACCACAAACACACACTAAAATACACACATTTAATAATTTAGCACTCGCTAGGCGAATTGGTCTTGTGGTCTTGTGCACACACGCTAGGCGGACTGGTCTTGTGAGTCTTGTGCACACTCGCTAGGTGGCGAACACATTCGCTAGGCGGACTGGACTCTCCAATCTCGTGCATGGTAATGACTCAACAACGGCTCGGGGTTTCTTGGAAAGGCTCGTGCTCTCAGAACTTGGCTCGATTCTTCTCTTTCATCCTCCAAAATGGACATAAAAATTGCACCAAAGACAAGAGAAAATACGCCAAAATACAAACACTAAATAGAAAATGAAAACACACGGAATCAACTAAAATGGACCGATTAGACAAGAAAACAAACATAAAATCGACTCAACTACACACATAAATCATATAAAAAGAAGCACAAAAACACAATAAATAGCACGGTCGCGCACGCTCAGACGTCTAAACTCAGGGTTCGGTACTATGGGCCTTATCAAGTGCTTAGGCGAGTCGGCATGGTGTCCTATCGACTCGAGCTGTCGGAAGAATCCCAAATACATCTCGTTATTCATGTCTCACAGCTAATAAGAAGTTTGGGCGAGGCGCACCAGTGAAGTGACCGGCTACCCGCCACGACACCGGCTGGGCATGTTATAGTTAGCCCAAGTCGAGCATTGAATTACCGAGAAGTTAAGAATGTCAGGTTTTTCTTCTGAGAAGTGCTGGTTGAATGGGAAGATTTGCCGGAAGAAGAAGGCACGTGGGAGAACTTAGCCGAGATGCGCGAACGGTTCCAAATTTTGTCCTTGAGAACAAAGAAACACTTGAAGGGGATGGGTACGGCTAGACGATTAAAGAACGCAACAAGCCGCGCTTATCATGCATGCAAGAGGTTGGCGCACCAGGCCGGGAAGGCTAACGTGATCGGCGCGGGTGACGGCGCGCGGGGCAACACGCGCGACAATAGCGCGCAGGGGCAGACGACGATAGCTCCGAGGGCATGGGAGCACGCAGACGAGTACGTAAATGCGCGCGAGGGCGACCGTCGAGAAGAACCGGGCAAGAAAGAGGCGCATGCAAATGACGCGCGTGGGCAAGCCGAGTAGGGCAGCTATGGATTACTTGGAAATCAAGATTTACGATTCTTCTAGATGCATTACTACAACTCCTAGATTGTTTAGGGTGCCTTCATTAAGATAAGTTAGGACTCTGATTATTTACTTTCCTTAGAATTTTTAGCTTATTTTGAGTAGGACAAGACTTAGTAGTTTGCCTTTAAATACTTGATGTTTTCCTATGTTTTTTCATTATCATTCATATTAATAAAAATCCGAAATTTTGTTCAAACTTCTTGTGTTCAAATTCTCATCGAGTTTACCGCAAAACCCTTGTCTCGAAAATGGCGATCATCGCATTGTTCGTCGCAAGTCCGAGTTCGGCAAGGGCGCACGTCCGAGTTGTCTTAACTATCGCGAGAAGATAAGAAGATTAACCTCCGAGTCGTCCGCACCAGTTGTCGAGAACTGAGATCTCATCGACATTTGAAGCAAGTCACGCAACCGAGACACGCGATCTTCATCACTCAGGCGCCGCCTGCTAACGCTCGGCGATCCAATTTCAGGGAAGCAATTTTTCTTAATGGTTTCATTTGTCAGGACGATTGTCATGATGATTAGCAAGAGTCTGGGTCATTATTTATCACATGTTGACATGTTATTTGAAAAAGTCGGTAGGTCAGTTTTTATCACATGTTAACATGTTCTTTCCTAATAGAAGTCGGTGTTAACTCACTAAACAAAAGGACTTAAAAATATTAGTTTGAAAATGATGGTGTACTCGCACGGGCTCTTGATTAGTTTCTTGTATGACTATGTTCCATGAATCCAAACAAGATAATTCGTGTAAAACCCCTACCAAAGTTCCTTTAAGCATGAGTCATGGAAACCCGTTAAGGCATGTGTGTAAAAAGTCAAACAAACTATTGAAATCTCAAACACTAAACAATAAATCACTGTCCATTTCAAACATATTCATTGGAAATTCAATTAAGAGACAAAAGCAGAAGTAATTTCAAAGACTCACGATATTTCAAAGGCTTAAACTACTTGTAGGAAACACAACTGAAAAACTAAACTTATATGCTAAACCCTACTCAAAAAGGTTAAAAATAAAACCGTCTTCCTCCCCACTCTCCTCGTCCTTCTCCTTCTCTTTATTTTTGTCCTCTGTCTCTGCCACCGCATCACCGCTGGAAGCTGCTGGGGTCGAGGCGGCAACTCCACCTCCTACGGAGGCACCACCAACTATCACCTGCATAATTCGACCGCACATTAACATACAAATTAAATACTGGACCTCAACCCATGTAATTGAACCCAAAGCCAGAAGAGAATATTCATATTAAAGTACATTGATTTAGCAAAATTCATAAAATTATAAGAGAAAATCAAAATAATAAAAAACATTACTCTTGTCATGGCCGAATTGGACAATATTGGAAAAAAAAGGAAAAAAAAAAATCGAAACCCTAGGATGAACATTAACTTCATAAGACAGATTGGGAACTCTGAGTAAACCTGAATAACGCCTGAGGAAGGGGTGACGTAGGAGAAGGAACTCTGAACGGCGCCTGAGGAGCCAACGGCGAGGGCGGCATGGACGAGCTTGCGCTCGAGGTCGAACCGTTTGTCGGCCGAAGCGTGGAGATCACCGTTGAGTTGCTTAGCAGACCACGCGCCGCCGGTTTCCCTGCAGACGAAAGTGAAAACTCCCATCGCGGCGTTTGCTTGGATTAGATTGGTATGGATGTAAGACCTAGGGCTTTAGGGGCATATTTATAGGTTTTTTGCCCACGCCACAATAAATTATTATTATTACCTTTTGTCCAAAAAAGTACAATATTTAATGAATAAATATTTATTTATTAATTTACTATATTAGCAAATAATGACAAAATTACAATTTTAGTCATCTTGGTTTGATCAAATAGCGTTTTTTAATCTTAAAAATTAAACTTTTTTTTGCTATTTGGTTATATAATAATCTTAAAATCAATGCAATTTCAATCTTTCAGAACTGAAAATGTAACTAATTTTTGCAGGACTTAAATTGTTCATAAAATATTTATCAAAATTTTTTGTTGTCCTGTAATTTTATGAGAAATTTAAGTCTTGAAAATTGCAGCGAAATATTAAATTATCAAAACAAAAGATAAAAATTAAATCATAGTACTAAAATGCTACAATGTTAAAGTAGGAGGACTAAAAATGTAATTTTACGGCAAATATTTATCATGCACACGGCTGTTTTTAAAAGAAACGAAACAACCAGCAGTTTTTTTATTATTTTTTTTCTTTATTTTTTTTTTATAGTAAAGGTGTCGTATCAAAGTTGGTCTTTTATGTTTCCACGAAATTTGGAAGTAACTGTACAGATTTTCACTTTTACCAACTCCTACTCAAATTGGTTTATACTCCTTTTACGATTGCACGTGCAACACCATTACACCAGTATATAAAACGTACTTTTTTTTTTGTACAAGAACCTTCCAGTTTCCGGATCCACAGGGGAACCGACTAATCCAGAATCGAGTCGGGTAGGACCACAAGGGCGGCAAAGCTCTCTCCCTCAAGAGTTTTTAACACTGCTCAATTACTTTAATGGAATAAATATAAGTAAAAATAAATAAAAAAACAGTTTATAATTTTATTTACAATTAAAAAATGAATATATATTCAAATTCAGAAAACATCAGTATATCGCAACTATTACTAATATTTTCATCCGTGCAATATAGGTTTTCCAACTTTACAGCATAGATGTTATATAATGTAAAGATTATTTGCCATTAATATTATAATATTGTATTTTGAAATTAATTGCCATGCGTCCTTAAAAAATCAATTGATGCAAGTGTTTTTATGTACACAAGTAATCAAATTCAAGTAATCATCAAAACTAAATTTATTTATACATATATGTTCTTCCTTAAGCTTTGAAAGGCAAAATTTCATAAAAGATTAGTAAAGATTTGGTGGGCAAGGGATAACCAAGTTACCCGACTTGGGTCGATCTCGAGGGAAGGCTATTCGGACCATCACTTACTAGTTGATTGTCCAAATCACACAAAAAAAGAAAATAAAGTCCTAAACATTCTTAGCAATTGATTGGAGGATTGATTATTACTAAACAAGCAAACAATGAACTAAGAGCAATATCAAATCACGAGCAAGTAGCAAACTAGACCATCGGAGTCTCATGCCATAACCACAACGAGATGATAATCAACGACAAAAAGGAATA